GGCATTAGATTGTTGCCTGGTGATATTTTATCTATTTTGCCTTCTATGTCTTTTCAGTGGCGCATTTAGTCCATTCATATTTAGGCTAATTATTGAAATGCAAGAGTTGATCCCTGTCATGAGGTTCTTACAGAGTTGTTGTTCCTGTTTGTTTGTTGTCTTTCTTTTGGTTTTGGAGTTGGTTCATGTGTGTTTTTAATCTTTTGCCTGTACTTTTGTGAAGAATGTTGTTATTCCTTTTTCCTTTTGTTCTGTGTTCAGTACTTTCCTAACTGTTTTTTGTAGAGGTGGTCTGGTGGCAGCGTAGGTTCTTAGGGATTGCATATCTGGAAAAGGTTTCAATTCTCCCTCACTGATGAAGCTTAGCTTGGCTGGGTAGGTTATTCTTGGCTGAAATTGTTTATCTTTTAGACCTTTGAAGATAGGGCTCCAGGGTTTCCTAGCCTGGAGGGTTTCTGTAGATAAATCTGCTGCTATTCTAATTGGTCTTCCCTGGTAGGTAGTCTGGTCTTTTTCTCTTGCTGCCTTTAGGATTTTTTCTTTTATAGCTATTTTGTTTAGGCGAATTATTATGTGTCTGGGAGTTGGTCTTCTCATTTGTTGTCTTGCAGGGGTTCTCTGAATTTCTTGTGCTTGAATTTTGCATCACTGATGAGATGAGGGAAGTTTTCTTGAATGATTTCATGAAATGTTTGTTCCAGTGTGACCTCTGACTCTCTCTCTGCCTCAGGAAGGCCAATTACTCTTAGATTGGGTCTCTTGAAGTAACCATTCATCTCCTGAAGGTTTTGTTCTGACTTTTTAAGCTTCTTTTCTATGTTTTTGACAGTTTGGGTTAGTTCTGTATTTTGGTCTTCAAGTTCTGAGATTCTTTCTTCTGCTTGGCTAATTCTGCTTTCCATGCTTATTAGTTTGTTATTTATTTCCATCACAGTATTCTTTACCTCTGTTATTTCTATCATCAGCTCCTTCCTATTTTGCTCTTGTCTCTCCTCAATTTTTTTAATTCTCTCTATTAATGCCTTGATGTCTGGGTTTGTTGCTTGTGACCAGTCATTCTGGGGGCTCTTCCTTGTTTGTGTTCCGAAGTCTGTTTTCCCAGTTTCTGACCTCCCAGGGGTCTGTGTCAACCCTATATTCTTCTTTTGGTTTTTCTCCATTTGTGCAGATTTTTCCTCCCTAATTTTCCCTTCCCTCCACTTCCCTGTCTTCTTTAATTCTGTTATTCAGGGGTAGAGGGGTTTCTTTTACTTCTGTTTGTTCAAACTCCTATTCTTCCTAATGTATTTCCTCTTGCTTTGTTCAGTTCTAGAATTGGACTGTAGGTTGAGGGCAGTCCTTTTTGTAGTTTTGGGATTTAATTAAGGGGGGAGCTGTAATTCACAATCTCTCTGCAGATCCCAGTATCCGCCAACAGGTGTATGGATAGCCTGAAACCCACTTCCCACTGCCTTGGAGTCTGTCCATGCAGTGGGGTTGTAGGTTTACTCTCTGAAAGCAAAATGAGGTTAACAAAGGGAAGAGAATGGAGCAGGCAGTGGGGGTGGGTGGAGAGAGAAAGGACTGAGAGGGAAAACAGATGAGTGTACCGACTGGTAAGTGAAAAGAGACACAAAGACTGAAACAAATATAAAGAAAAACAATAACTACAACTGAAAACTAACCAACAACCATATAAAAAGCTAAAACATACAATGATGCTAACATACATGCTGACCAACCTCCTTATTCGTGTGCTATTCCTTTATACAAAGATGGTGTTTACAGAGAAATAAGAAAATAGGGGGAAAAAAGGGAAAAGGGATAGATTAAAGTCAGTAGAATAACAGAACCAACCAAGCACACTCTGAGACTTTTCCTTTAAGTCCAATGTCCTTTCAGCTCTGATTTCTAGCTGTCTTTGCAGGCTGGTAGAATTGTTCACAGTTAGGGTCAGTTGCCCATGGCCTGCTGTGAAGAACAGTTCAGATATGGGCCCACTGCCCGGTCTATTACTGAAATCTGGCTTTTTCTATTCATCAAGAGGGATGAGCCTCTGCCATTCCCATTTTGATGTTGTTACCTTAGACCCCCAGCAGGTGGTGCTATCTCATGGCTGCAGTCCAGAGGGGAGTGAGCTGGTTACGTCTCCAGATTAGGGGCATGGTGTGGCAGTGGCAGCACCAGTCCGGCCGCGGCAATCTCAAAAGATCCTGCTTGCAGGGGCTTCACAGTCTGAAGTCATGGGTCGCCTCAGGTATGAGCAGAGAATGACCGCAGTGGCAGCATCCACGACTGCAGGAGCAGCCCAGACCGCTGTGATAGCTGAGTAGGGACGGGTGGGTGACGGTGGTGGCTGAGCTCCCTGTGAAGAGCAGGCTGCAGAAGATGGGAGCAGCAGCCCTTGGGAAAGAGCTAGGGTCTTTATAAGTGTTCTCTTTCACAGAGGGTCTCACAGACCATGCTGCCCTGACGCCATCTTGCCGGAAGAATCCTCCCTTTCTTTAATTATTTAATCATTGTTTCCTTTCATCCTTTGAACACATTTATAATGGCTATGTTGAGGCCTTTATCTATATATCCAACATCTGGGTGCTCTCATAGGGAGTTCTGTTACCTATGAACAGAAAAATGCAAATTAAAGTGACTCTGAGATGCTTCTTTATATAATTGTCTTTATTATATTATCAAAACTTTGAAAGCCAGATAGTACCAGAGATTTCTGAGGACAGGGGAAAATGAAAATCCTAATGTGATAATGGGAGTGTAAACTGGTACAGCCATTCTACCAAGCAATCTGATAGTTCCTGGTCAAATAGAGAATACATATACCTTGTTATCCAGTAGTCTGCACTGGATGTATATCAGGAATTTCATCCTGCGGGGCCATTAAAAAATATGTACAAAGATGTTCATCATAGTGTTTGTAGCAGTGGAGAGTTGAAGAAAATACACATGTCCACCCTAGTGGTTATGAAGAAGTAATGTAACTGGATGATGTATACTATGGAATACCAAAATCAGTTAGAAGCAATAAATTATACATCCCACAACATAGATGATTTCTTAAAAATATAATGTTGAGAGAAAAAAGTAAAAATACCAAGTGATATCTAAGCACAATGCCATCTATAGAAATATAAAATAAAGCCGGGCTCAGTGGCTCAGCCTGTAATCCCATGCCTTGGCTGAGGTGAGTGGATTGCCTGAGCCCACATGTTCGAGACCCACCTGGGCAACTTGGTGAGCCCTCATCTCTACAATAAATCAAAAAATTAGCCAGGCATGGTAGCGCACACCTGTAGTTCCAGCTACTTGGAAGGCTGAGGCGGAAGGATTGCCGGAGCCCAGCAGGTTGAGGTTGCAGTGGCCGGGATCGGCCATTGCACTCCAGTCTGGGCGACAGAGTGAGACTCCAACTCAAAAAAAAGAAAAAGAAATAGAAAATATATATGTATATCTTGAAGTACATAAATAAAATTAATTAGTTGGCACCTATGCTAAGTGAGGAACAGGAGTAAAAATTGAAGAAGAATGAAATGAGGTACACATAAAATAAAACTGGTCTTACATGAATTGATTATGATAGTCTGCAACACTGCTCCTGAGATACAAAATAAAGAAAACAAAGATACATAAATAAAAGAAATATGAGATAATTTCATCAGATGAGATTGGGACTGGGAGGAAAGGGTTAGAAGGTTTTGAAAGAAAGAATAAATTGTATGAGATCACTATCTTGAATATTTAGAAAGTGAACTAATTGAAAGACATAATAGAGGTGAGAGGATTGCCTGAGCCCACGGGTTCAAGAAAAACCTGGGCAACTTGACAAGACCTCATCTCTAAATAAATAAAAAAATTCGCTGGGCATAGTGGCGCGTGTCTGTAGTTCCAGCTACTTGGAAGACTGAGGCAGAAGGATCACCTGAGACCAACAGGTCGGGGCTGCAATGGCCATAAGCATACCGCTGCACTCCAGCCTAGACAACAGAGTGAGACTCCAACTCAAAAAAAGAAAAACAGAGTTACCAGGCAGTTTTAAATGACCATTGGAGGTTTGTGGTCTCAGTAAGCCTGTTTGTCTGATTCTCCATTATTCCATGACTACTCAGGCAAAGGTACAGAGAGGAAAGAGAAGAGACAGAATTGCTTTTGTTCTTGAGACAAGAGAGATTTGAGTGTATTTAAAAGCAAATAGGAATGTGCTAATAGAAAAAGGCAGGTTGAAGATATTTGGAGGAAAGAGGAGTAACGAATGGAAAACAATGGGAATAAGTTACGCCTGCCCGTGCCCAGCACAACACCTCTTTCTCTGAGATAGTAGAGTAGGATGGAATGCATGCAGAAAAGTTTATAATTGATAGAAGGCCAGAATTTGAGGGAATTATTATCTCAGACTTTGTCTTGGCTTGTGATCAGATCTTAATATGTACACCTCATTAAATTTCACAACTGTCATTCCTCATTCAGGTGTCCCAGGAGTAATGCCTCTGATGACAGATATCTGTAATCTATATAACCAGTGCAATAGGATGTATTTCAGTTTAAAATCATTTATCCAACTCTCATTTGCTGCTGGTGGTAGAGTAATTAGGACAGTCTCTCTGGAGAGAAACTTGACATTACTTACCCAGATCCTTAAAGTCATTCATACCAACTTACCCAGTATTCCACTTCTACAAATGTATCCTAAGGAAGTAATCAGAGAGGTATGCAAATACTTATATGCAAGAGTATCTAGTCTAGTGTTATTCTTAAATACCAAAAATTAGAAATCACTTACACATTCCTATAGTAGAGGAGTGGTTAAATTATACCCTAGGATATTCCTAGAATAAAATATTTTATTGCCATTAAAATAATCTTTTAAAATAATATTGGCACAGGAAATATGCATAATATTACAACCATTTTTCTCACAGCCTGATTTCTTTACACCCGGCTAATTAATGTTCATGGGAACTCATAAGAGCTGAAGTGCACAGCTAGCTGGATCTTGTTCTGTATGATTTCTCCAGGGGGAGCCTGCTCACTTTGAGTATCTGATGTACCCATTACATTCAGCACCCATCACTGGTCTAGCCACCTGCATCCGCAAACCCCTCATTGCCACCTGTTCTCTGGATCGATCTGTTCGCATCTGGAATTATGAATCAAAGTAAGGAATGAATGGCTTTCCTGTAGTGGTATGCAGAATTTTAGTTGTTAATTTTATTTATGTGAATTATTTTAACTAGAGAGTTTAAATTTTTAATTACTTGGAAGTTTTCAGTTTGAAAAGATGTTTTTTAAATCAAGCCAGTCAACCTACCTGTTTCTTACTCTTGCACGGGTCAGAAAATTACTTTGTGGTTTATTAAGTGCTTACACATGCCAGACGCTATGCTGGACATTAGGGCCATGAAGATAGCATCCCAGTATCTCACCTTCTTACATAAACTCCTCTTTCTTATGCTCTCCCCCAGATCTGCTCTTGGCTCCATGGAGCTTTCCAGATCTTTTGTTCCTCCTCTTTCTTATCACTGCCCCAGCCCCCCATTCCCAACTTCTTAATGATTTTACCTTCTGGCACAGCTTCTCTGAGAATCTTCAACCCTAAATTACCCCACACTGTTTTCTTTGCTCTTATATACACCTTCTGTGGCTGCTGAGGGGGACAGTACCTGCAAAATAGTTGTGATTTTTAGAGTCTAAATGGAACTGTGTCTTCATTACCAGACAACACCTTGACCAATCCCCGTTTACCATACTCAGTGCTGGATATTATCTTCAAATAACCAAAATCTAGAAAAGAGAGTAACTAAGAATTGCAAGCAAGAAAGTATCTCAAATGCTATGATAACAACATATTTCAGATACAGTGGAGGATGTGAGGAATTTGGTGGGCTAGACTATAATTCAGTAATTGATCTTTTTCACAGCACTCTGGAACTATTTAAGGAATACCAGGAAGAGGCATATACAGTCAGCCTTCACCCATCTGGACACTTCATTGTAGTAGGGTTTGCAGACAAACTACGCCTCATGAATCTACTCATTGATGATATACGTTCTTTCAAAGAATACTCCGTCAGAGGATGCAGAGAGGTAAAAACTGTGGAGATAAAGGTTCAGTTTCTTGGAAAGCCAGGGTTAAAATATTAAGTCAAATGCTCTGGGAAGGTGGGACCAAATTCTGTCTTAGAGAACTGTGTGGCTTTAAAAAAAAGAAGGAAAGAAAGAAATCCAGTTCTTCTCCCAATAAACTTATTGAGTGTATGGTTTTGTCCCCATTTTCTTATGCCAATCAAAATATTTCATTGCACCTAAAATCTTGTGAGATCCTACCTGGACAAGTCTTCTCTGTAATTATGAAGTATGAACAAATATTGAAAAAGAAAACTAATCTCAGAAACAGAGTCACGGCTGGGAAAGTAAGGTTGGAGATTGGGAGGAGCCAGGGAAAAATAAACATTAGCAGTAACAGGGAGTAAACAGCCCATAAGATGTCCCCCGAAATGACTGGCAGAAACAAGACAGTGATCTCAAGAATCACTCCCCCACTCTGAAACTGCGCCTCTACATGCAAAAGGAGTGCCCTGTGATTAATAATTAGTGCCTCAATGATTAGTGGGCATGGCAGTGTCAGCATCTTGGCCACTGTGAGCTACAAGAATAGTGAAAGTGTCTGAAATAGCCACTTTGCCACCCTATTTTCACTTTTCATCCACTCCCACCACCACACATAATTTCTATCTGAACTCCTTGGAAAAAGCAGCTCTTGACTGTGACCTCCGATTAGACGATTCACGTCTTTCTTGCTTGCTGTCTGACTGTCTTTCCCTGTAGTGTTCTTTTAGCAATGGAGGTCACCTGTTTGCTGCAATCAATGGAAACGTGATTCACATTTATACCACCACGAATCTAGAGAACATCTCAAACCTGAAAGGACACACGGGAAAGGTAAGTGAGTGAGTGGCATCCCGGGAAACAAGAGGCATGAAACCAAGAACACTGTCTTGCCGAAGGGATCCAGATCAACAGAAGAGAAGTGATTCCTTTCTTCATGGGCTTCATTTTCTACTTGGAGAAAAAGATAACAAAACAAATGCACAGACAAATTGAATTGCTAATAGCAATTAATTCAATGAGAGAAAAACATGGTGGTGTTATGAGAGAAAATAATGAAGGAGGTGGTATCATTTAGGCAGGGATGTTTGCAAAGTCTTGGTCCTGGAATAGTGAACAGGAATTAAGAATTAACCAGGCAGAGCTGGTGGGGGTAATCAATGAAGATAGGAATCCAAAGATCAGAGATTGATGATTGCCTGGGAGTCAGAAGAACTGAAAATCTATGCGGCTGGAACATAGGTATCAGGATGAACCATGGGGTGAAGCATGGGCTGAAACTGAAGAGGTCACAGAGGCCCAAATACATGGAACCTTGAAGGCCTTGTATGGCTATTTACTTTATCTTCCTTGTTCCTTGAAATCATTGAAGATTATCAGGGCTGGGAATGCCCAGACTTGCATTTATAGGATTACTTTGGCTGCAGAGTGAAGAATCTACTGGAGGAGACAAGGACAGAAATGGCAAGGAGGCTGTTGTGGATGTCTAGACAATAGATTATAGTACCTTGGACCATGTTGGTGGTGGTACAGTTAGAGAGGAGTTGGTGAGTTCAAAATATTTTATAAAGGAAAAGCAATAGGACCTGGAGTAGATTGGACATGAGATATGAATAAAAGGGAGAGGCTAAAGATTGAAAGGGTAAGAAGTCAGCAGATGAATTTGGAGAGAAGAGGCAATTGAAAAAGAAAGGCATTGTAGGCAGAAGGATGTATTGGAGATGATGGAACGGAAGTATGAAATAGGGAGGTGCCTTGTGGTTTATATGTTTGGGACACTGGGCACATTTGAGGGATAATAAAAGAGGGTGCTGGAGAGGTTGGCTGCATTGTGGAAGACAGTGTACGCCATGCCAAGGAATTGAACTTTAGTCTGTAGGTGATGAGAAGAAGTGGAATGGGTTTAAGAAAGGAAGGAATGGGATCAGAAAGGAACTCTCCAAGCAGTATTGTGAATGGATTAGAGTGGAGGGAAGTTGGAGTGATAGAGACCAGCTAAGACATGAGAGTGCAGGATAGGTTAGGAACTAAACCATGGCTTTCATAGAGGAGACAAAGAAGAAACAGATTAAATTCCATTTTGGACATGTTATATTTGATGTACCCAGGAAATATGATGTATGTGTGTGGAAATCAGGAAAGACTCAAGGCTGAAAATGAAAATTTGGGGCATTAGGTAATAGTGGAAGTCAGAAGCATAGATTAGATCACCAAGGGCCTATGTGGAATCGGAAAAGAATCTTGGGCCAGAGAGAAGTAGCTGGCATTTAAGAGACTGGTAAAAAGAGAGGAGCAAGGAAAAACTGAAAATGAAAATACAAGGAGAACTTGAAATCAGAGAATCATCTCAAAGAAGCCAGGGAACTAAATTATTTCTAAAAGGAAGAAGCGGTCAGTGGCACTAGGTGCCAGAGGGAAGTCATGTAAGGACTAAAAGCTGACAATTGACGTTAGCAAATAGCAAGTCGTTGGAAGGAAAAGTGAAAAAACTTGGGAAGTGGAAATATTGTGTAAACACAAACATTATTATTGTTGTTGTTGTTATTTTGAGTTGGAGTCTCACTCTGTCACCCAGGCCAGAAGGCAGTGGCACGTTCCCAGCCATCACAACCTCAACCGGCTGGGCTCAGACAATCCTTCCGCCTCAGCCTTCCAAGTAGCTGGAACTACAGGCACGCGCCACCATGCCCAGCTAATTTTTTTATTTATTGTGGAGATGAGGTCTAGCCAAGTTGTCCAGGCTGACCTTGAACCCATGGGCTCAGGCAATCCTCTCACCTCGGCCTCCCGAAGTGCTCAGATTACAGGCGTGAGCCATCATGCCTGGCCTAATACAAGCATTATTATTGAAAGCTGCTGAGCTTCTTCAGCTTCAGCAATGTAATTAGTCTTCAAGTGACTGCAGAGATGCAGATAAAAGCACAGAAGGATGTTCTGATGCCTTCACCAGTCTAGGAAAGTAACCATTTGTTTAATCACTTTACAAGTACTTAAAACACTGGTCTGTAATCAGGGATATGTGTTAAAATTACATGTGTAACATTTAAAAAAAAAATACAGATTGAGGATGCCACTAAAGCCATGCATACAGGGAAATGTATAACCTTAAATACATATGCCCCATTAGAAATGAAAAAAAAGATGAAAATCATATATAAGCAGTCATCTCAAGAAGTTACAAAAAGAACAGCAAATTCAAAAAAAGGGCAAGAATTAATAGTGATAAGAGCAAAAGTTAGTGAAATAGAAAACAAATGTACAAAAGAAGATCAAAGCCAAAACTTGATTCTTTCAAAATAAAAAATGAACAAACCCTTGGCATGACCAGTCAAGAAAATAAGAGAGGAGATACAAATAACTATTATGAGGAATAAAAAGGGGATATCACTAAAGGTCCTATAGATGTTAAAAAGATCATAGGAGGATATTATGAACAACTTTATGCAAATAAATTGTAATATGTAGATGAAACTGACAAATTTCTATAAAAAGTGAACCTGTCATTCAAAACCTTCCTACAAAGAAAACTCTAGGTCCAGGTCATTTCACTGGATAATTATATTAAAATTTAAGGAAAAAAATACACAAATATTGAAAAAAACTCTCTAGAGAATTGGAAAAAGAGGGAATACTTTTCAATTTTTTCTATGAAATGAGCATAATCATGATACCAAAACCTGTCAAAGATACCTCAAGAAAGAAAAATAAGTCAGTGTTTTTCATTAACAGAGATAGAATAGTCCTAAATAAAAGATTATCATACCAATCCAGCAAAATATAAAAAAGGGAATGAGTTGGGTTTGTTCCAGGAACACAAGGTTGTTTTAGGTTTTAAAATCAATTAATTTATAATACCACATTAACATAATAATGAAAACTATATGTTTACCTCTATAAACGCAGATACAGTAAGAATTGATAAAAATTAACATTTGTTCATGATTTTTTTTTTTTTTTTTGAGTCGGAGTCTCACTCTGTCCCCCAGACTGGAGTGCAGTAGCCGCTCCCGGCCACCGCAGCCTCGACCTACTGGGCTCCGGCGATCCTTCTGCCTCAGCCTTCCAAGTAGCTGGAACTACAGGCGCGCGCCACCACGCCCGGCTAATTTTTTGATTTATTGTAGAGATGAGGTCTCGCCAAGTTGCCCAGGCGGGTCTCGAACCCGTGGGCTCAGGCAGTCCACTCACCTCAGCCTCCCAAAGGCGTGGGATTACAGGCTGAGCCACCGAGCCTGGCTTGTTCATGACATTTTTAACAAGCATTTAATGAACTAGAAATAACGGAGAACTTCCTAAGTCTTATATGAGACGATTACAAAAAACCTACAACAAACAGTATACTTGATCTTGAAATTATGAAAGCGTTCCCTCTGAGAGAACAATCACAGTGACCTCTGTGAGCCTTTGACTGGGTTCCAATCAGTGCAATAAGGCAAGAAAAGGAAATAAAGCCATAAAGATTAGAAAGAAAACAATAAAACTGTCACAGGCAACATGATTGGGTTTGCAGAAAATTGAAAAGAATGTTTAGATAAACCATTAAATGTAAATGTAGGAATATCGTTGAAAACAAGGTCACTATATTTTTAAAGTACATTTTAATATAATAGTAGCAAACAATTAGAAAATGCTTTTTTTTTTGAGACAGGATCTCACTCTGTCACCCAGCCTGGAGTGCAGTGGCGTGATCCTTGCTCATTGCAACCTCCACCTCCTGGGCTCAAGCAATCCTCCCACCTCAGCCTCCTGAGAAGCTGGGACTAAAAGTGCATGCCACCACACCTGGCTAAGTTTTTTTATTTTTTGTGGAGGCAAGGTCTCACTATGTTGCCCAGGATAGTCTCAAACTCCTGAACTCAAGTAATTCTCCTGCCTCAGCCTCCCAAAGTATTGGGATTACAGACATGAGCCACCACTCCCAGCCTAGAAAATACAACTTAAGAGGTAGAGATGGGGCTAGGAGAGAGTTAAAATATAGTTAACAGGGTAAAAGTCATGGAGATACCCAAAGAGCTGACCAGTGGGTCAAAAGATTAGTTACTTATAGGGAGAGAGTGAGAAAATAGGCAAAACTATATGGAAGATAATGGGGCCAGGTCTCTTACTATTGAAGAAGGGAGTTACAAATATGGAAAGAGGGAAATGCTAGAATGAGTCTTGTGGTTTGAATTGAAATTGGAGAAATCAATGGGAATTCATGGTTTTTAATATAGAGAGATAGATATAGAAATAGATATAGGAGGTATGGGTACATACACATACACTTAAAGAGGAATTAAAACCAACTCTATATAAACTCTTACAGAAAATAGAAGAGGAAGCACATCCCAATTCATTTTATGAGACCAGTATTACTCTGACACCAAAGCCAGACAAAAATAATATCCCGCCCCAACAGAAACTACTACAGATAAGTATCCCTCATGAATATAGACTCAAAAGTCCTCAATAAAATATTAGCATATTGAATCCAGGAACATATGAGAATTTTATGTCACAACCTAATGGGGTTTATTCTAGGAATGCAAACCTGGCCCCATTATCTTCCATATAGTATTTGCTTATTTTCTCACTCTCTCCTTATAAGTAGCTAATCTTCTGACCCACTGACCATCTCTTTGGGTATCTCCGTTTAAAAATCAATCAGTATCATCTACCATATTAGCAGGCTAAAGAGGAAAAACCAACTTTAAAAATATCAGTTTCAGCTGGGCTCGGTGGCTCAGCCTGTAATCCCGCGCCTTTGGGAGGCTGAGGTGAGTGGATTGTCTGAGCCTGCGGGTTTGAGACCCGCCTGGGCAGCGAGACCCCATCTCTACAATAAATCAAAAAATCAGCCGGGCGTGGTAGCGCATGCCTGTAATTCTGGCTACTCGGAAGGCTGAGGCAGAAGGATCGCCGGAGCCCAGCAGGCGAGGCTGCGGTGGCCGGGAGCGGCCACTGCACTCTAGTCTGGGCGACCGAGTGAGGCTCCAACTCAAAAAATAAAAAAAAATCAGTTTCAAATATTTACTAAGTTAATTCCAGTGAAATATAGAAACTTTACCCTTATTTAGCTCCAAACCTACCCTTTGTTATACTACTATTGTGATGCCAAAAAGATGCTGAACTCTGTCAAATATTTTAAGATGGCTTATTCTGGCAAATATGTGTGACCAGGCCTGTGACACCATCCCCAGGAGGTCCTAAGAACATGTGTCCTCCACAGTTGAATTGTAACTTGACTATATACAATTTAAGTTACAAGAAACCATATATCAATATATGTAAGGTTTACACTAGTTTGGTCCAGGGAGGTGGGACATTTCCAAGTTGGAGGCCTGCAGTCTACAGGTGAATTCAAAGATTTTCTGGCTGACATTTAGCATAGAGTTATCTAAGGAATTTCAAAAGCAGTAAAGAAAATGGACAGATTGAAGAACAATATGGTAACAAGTTTCTTGATATGTGAATGAAGATTTATGGGTGGTAGCAGACTTCAGAGAGAACAGGTAATTTTCTTAAAAGGTGCCGGAGTTCCTAAAAGGCAGCTTTACAGGGTGATAAAATACTTTGATTTTCCTTCCTTATATGCCAGAGCTGGGTTGGAGTGTAAATCACATAAAAGTTAGGAATTTGGGAAGGTAAAGAAGAAAGGTCAGAGTTTAGTTGTCAATTGTTATACATATCACATCTTTATATGTTATAAACCTAACAATGTACAGCGTCTTTATATAATATTGTGTCTTTTAAAGAAACTGAGAGAAAAAAATGACAGCAAGTAAAAATTTGTAAAGACTTTTATATTAACCTTCTTATTTGTAAAGACTTTTATATTAACCTTCGGTTATTTTCTTTGTTTAGAGACAAGTCTTGCCCTGTCACCCAGTCTGGAATGCAGTGACATGATCATAGCTCACTGTAACCTCAAACTCCTGAGATCGAGCTGCCCTCTCACCTCAGTCTCCAGAGTAGCTAGAACTACAGGCACACACCACCACACCTGGTTAATTTTTTAGTTTTTTGTAGAGATGGGTATTTCACTATGTTGCCCAGGCTGGTCTCGAACTCCTGGGCTCAAGCAATTATCCTGCCTCACCATCCCAAAGTGCTGAGATTATAGACATGAGTCCCCACATCTAGCCAGATTTTTACTTTTTTTCTATTGGATTTGTGTGTAGTTTGGAAGCTACTATCACAATTCAGAGAGTTTATAGTTTTTGTTTCATGTTTGGCTAGAATATAAATTCGTTTGGGTGTCCCCTCCCTGATTGAACATGAGAGGGTGCATACTTGGGCATGCACACAGTCTTCCAGGCTGCCAGGGCTGAGTACGATTACATTTTTAAGCCTGAATTCCTGGGAGATGCCTCTGAGTCAGAGGAGCTTATTATTCCATGTCTGGTCGGCTGTTGTATGTAAGCCCCCTGTGCCAGTAGGACTCTGCCCCTATGTTACTGGGTTCTTTGTGCACCTTTAGAGGTGCTTTCAAGTTTTACCCATATCTTACTCTGACTGCCCCGAGTGGGTACAGCCTAGCACATGCATACAGCCTTTTAGCCCCTGGAGCTTTCTGTGATCCCAGACGGGCTCTTCTTGTTCTGTTAAAGTTCTGCTGCTTTGCCATATTGCTTATATCATGGAGTTATAAGCCTTCTCTTAATCGCTCACCATCAAGGTCTCCATAGTTTTAGACAATGCCTATGGCATGGACTTCTCCAACTTTTGTTCCAAATAAAGTCAGTCCCTTCGAGCAGAACTGTAGAGCTCTTTATCTTAGGGTCTAACTGTCCCCTGGGCAGAGTCTTTGCTTCACAGCACCAGAGCAGGGACCTGCTTTTCAGAGAATGATATCTTCACTCTGAGTGGTGTGTGTTTGTGTGTGTATGTGTGTGTATGTGTGGGAGAGGGAGGGGGAGGGAGGGGGAAGG